ACAACTTTGAGATTTTCGAAATCTAAGAATTCATAGAGAGGATCCAAGACTTCATGAAGGAGATTTACTTTCCTTAATAGTAGCACTTCAAAAGCTTCTGCCTTTCAGTGTTTATGTCTGATTGATTGTGAAATGTGAATGACAATCTGTTTTTTATGTGGGTTTTATTTTATGGGTCTGTACTGCAGTAAGGTGGGTAGGCTATCGATTGCCCAAGTGTTAACGGTCAATCACAGAAGCAGAAGGCAGCATTGAGAGAAGCCTGCAAGAACAAGAAGTATTTGCCTCTTGACATCCGTCCCAAGAAGACCAGAGCTATTCGCCACTGCCTCACCAAGCATCAAGTTTTGCTTCATATTTTTTATTTGATTATTCTTTGGCAAGTATTGTTTATCTGGGTTGTGGAGGAAATTTGACATTGATGCTTGTGATTACTTTTCATTTGTTTTCTTGTGTGCCTTTCTGCTATGCTTTCTCAATCGTCAATTTATTTTGTTGATTTATGGATCTAAAAACTATAATTTTGGAGTTATCCTGAGCCCTTCCTTCTGGATACTCTAAACAGTGCTCTTTGGAATTTGCTTTGTTGGGTTGGGTTCAATCCATATCATTTAGGATTAGGATTTAGGTGTTAAGCTTCACCAAAAGTGCAAAACCTCCTTTCTTATGGCTGTTCTGTTCCAATTTTTGTTGCTTAGCCATAACAATTTTGTTCCTTTAGCAGGCAATGTAACTTGTTCCAAGCCCCTTTTCTGTATGGCATTTGCTTATAGAAGATGAAAACTGGAGATTTATGGTCCTAGACTAGATGGGTTATTTTAGTTCTTTGTTGCTTGGTTTTCAAGCTCTGAACCTACAAGTAAAATTTTCATTTTTTGTGCAGCTCCAAATGGTAATTATCCTTCACTTTGGTAGCTTGACTTGCACCCTTGCTACCAAGGTGATATTTGACTCAGAGTTGAATATTTGCTTCACTTTGGTAACTTGCACTCTTGTTCTTGTGTTTGGAAGAAGGAAGTAGAAATGAATATTGAGAATATGATGACAAAAGTTAAAGGATCCACGAAGTTTAAACAATTGTTTGGTTGTTAAATTTGAAAGCAATTCTGCATGAATCTTTCTCACAATTTAAGTTGAATATGAATCGACTATTGTAGTTTATTAAGGACTAGCTGCTCTACCTATTTATCTTTTTTCATGATTTCACCTCAAATCCTACCTTAACTTCTCACCACTTAATTAATCTTCAGCTTATATCAAACTACTCCATGTTACCTAGCTCTTCGCCATTATTTGGGTAGAAGCATATAAATTTCATGGTTTTCATCCATTATTACCATTTTAGCATTTATCAATGTGATCTTTATTTTTGCATTTAGTTATCTTATTGCATTACTGCTTAATTGATAATCTTTCATGCTGTTTTATGTAGGCGTCTTTGAAGACAAAACGCGAGAAGAAGAGGGAGATGTACTTTCCAAAGAGGAAGTATGCCATTGAGGTCTAAGGTTTAGATTAATTAGAATGAATACCTTGATGTTAAATTCATTAACGTCCCAACACAAGGGTATTTCTTTCACATTTACCGTTTTCATTTTTACAACTCTCAATTCTTAATCCTATCTATTCACAAGAGTTATTGGGCTAGTAATTGATTACTATTGTGAGGTGCGAAGAATAAAGATAAAAAAAGATCCCACATTAGGGAAATATGAAGAAAAAGACTGGTTTAATTATATTAAAATTTATGTAACTATTAAACTACGTTTTTTTGTTACAATATAGTGTCAAAATATATGATAGGCCACTTAATATCTTCCTATTATGTTGTTTCTCTCCCCAACAATTACTTTAAATTTGCTATAAAAATTTCTCAAATCTAAAATCCCCTTCTCCTTTTAATTTTCAAGTTGGACAAATGAAAACCTCAAGAGTGTTGAATGTATGGCCGAGCGAATATAAAGGGTCAAGTTAGTGCAATAATTCTTCGACCAAATTAAAATACTCAAAAATATTGTGAAAAAAAAATTAAAATACTCTCGTTTTTAATTAAAAAATTGTTATTTTAATATATTTCAATAAAAAATTTATTAAAACAACAAAAATTTTAAATTTTTTTCTTAATTTTTTTAAAACTAACTAACAAATACTTTTCTCATAAATAAATGAATATTAAAAATTTAGTCCTCAAATGTGGTTTAGGTGACATCATTCGTCAAGTCAATGCATTTTAGGTCCAATATGCCTGCCTAGTCTCGCGACCCGTGGCAAGATTATTTGAGGAATAGATGGGCTATATTTTGGGCTTTCTTGTCCTATAAAGTTATAGGCTTATAACCCATAGTGAAATGAATAATAGAGAGGTGGGCTAACAATTGGGCTTTTAATATATTCTGGGCCAGACTTGAGGCAATTAGGACCAATCGATTCGAAGGTAAAGTGTAAAAATCCCGACCACAGTGGGAGTCGAACCCACGACCTTTTGATCCGAAGTCAAACGCGCTAATCCACTGCGCTATGCGGTCTTATCATGTCTATTTGTTCGACATAATATTATTACTACCTTATTAAAACTCTCATACTGACCCTGCAACCATGGTGTCCTGTCCAGACATAACTCTAATTGAAGGTCAAGATCAGTGTTTTGAAACCCGAACCGGACATAAAACCGGTTTGCTCACCGGTTACCGGTTTGACCGGTCTGACCGGTTCAACCGGCCGGCCGACCGGGTCAAAGGCAAAATGCCAAAAACAGAAGTGCAGTGTTTCCCGCATCATTCTGCTGCAGTTTTCTCTTTTTTTTCCTTGCAATTTGGGGCAACCACAAGTCAAAAAACTTGATAAACACATAAAAGCAAATCCAAAAACTCAATAAATATATTAAAAAAAATCCAAAAACTCAATAAATACATCAAAAAAAGTATCATACAATTATAAATCTCAAAATTAATAAATCTTACATATATATATATATGAAAAATAAGTCCAAAAACAAACTAATATGCAAATAATACATAAATTACAATTATTCATTGTTTATCCCCAAGATGAGGAGGGTCTTGATTAAACCAAGCATTATGTTCACGAAAATCATTTTCACTATCATAACTATCATCATTTTCTTCACTGATTGATTCCAAATCAATTCCCCCACTTGCACTACCAATATGGAATAATCCTTCTTCACCACCTTGCACTTCTTCATTAATATCATGAGTGCCACCTTAAAAGTTGAAAAACAAACACATATAATAAATAAATCAACAAAATAAATCATAAAAAATATTTACCTCACATAATCAATAAAATAATTTATAGAATCACAAAATAACATAATAAATTTAAATTAAAACACTATGAAGTATGTCCAGATGATGACATATTTTTGTAATTCTACAACAAAATAAAATAAAATCATTAATGCAGCCCAATACAAAACAGATAAGGCTGGAAAAATTGTCAAATAAGTATTTAAATCCATTTTGACGATCAAGAATCTTGGTAATTCTCATAAATAACAAAACCAAAACTTAATAATAGATTCAATCAGTTGCAGATGAACATGCAAAATACAGAAATGTATTACTAAACTAAAACAAATTTCGTTCACTCATAAACAGATTATTAATCCTTGCTGGTGAAACAGAGAACCAGCTGAAGTGATAATGAACAGGGCAGTGGATGGAACATTAGGCATCTTAAAGGCATGCTTGAAATCAAAGACGGTCAGACCAGTTGTTTATGACAAAGAATTGAAACAGAAATGCAGAACATGCAAAATACCAAAACAAAATTCAAATTGAATTTCACATAAATAAATATACTCTGTAAATAAACTCAAAAATCAAAATGCAGAGCAAAACCCAATCCAAAATAAGCAGTAAAAAGATAAGAAATTTACTAAACTAAAGCAACGAAATGCAGAGCAAGGTAGCAAGCTTAAAGTGATTCACTGTTCTGTACCTGAAGGGAACCGGAGAAGAAATATTTCAGGTCGAACCGTTGAAGAGGATCCAGAGAGAGAACGACTTCGGGAGAAAGAGGAAAATCTGATGAAGAACAAAAGAAGTATGAGGATCAAGTAAAGCAACGAAATGCAGAGCAAGGCAGCAAGTTTAAAGTGATTCACTGTTCTGTACCTGAAGGGAACCGGAGAAGAAATATTTCAGGTCGAATCGTCGAAGAGGATCTAGAGAGAGAACGACTTCGGGAGAAAGAGCAAAATCTGATGAAGAACAAAAGAAGTATGAGGATCAAGTAAAGCAACGAAATGCAGAGCAAGGTAGTAAGATGAAGCCTGAAAGTGATTCTGTACATGAAGAGAACCGGAGAAGAAAATTTTTCACGTCAAAGAGGATCCAGAGAGCGAACGACCTCGGTGAGAAGATGAAAATCTGATGTAGAACAAAAGAAGTATGAGGATCGACCGATCGAGAGGGAGAACGACCTTGGCGATGGTGACAAGATGAAGATCTGATGAAGAACAGAAGAAGTGTGATTCCGAATCTGGACGGAAGAGATAAGGAATCGTTGTTGTTTCGCGTTTCTTCTTTGCAATTTGTTTGGAATCGAAGAAAGAATTGGAGAAGGACTGAAGGAGAACTGCAGTGTAAACTGGAGATGGGGGAGGACCGGAGGAGACGAGTCGAAGAAGAAGTGAAGAACGGAAGAAGGCTTAGGGTTCTTGACTTCTTGATCTAATTTAGTGATTTTACCCATTTGCATTCAAAGTTTGTTTTTTTTAAGTATTTTACCATGTAATTGTAATGTGTAGAAGAGGGTAAAAGGGGTATCAAACAAAAAAAAAGGTATAAAATAAATATTGAATTAAAAAATGGTTGAAAAAATTGAAAATGGCATATTTGAATTTGGCCCGCCGGGTTTACCGGGTTGTCCGGGTCTGACGGTTCTGGCGGTTCTGGCGGGTTTGGGCGGTTGGATCGCCTCACCGGGTCTGGGTATGCATTCGGTCCGTTTTCATGACCGGGTGACGATTCGACCGGTTCGATCGACCGGTCCGGTCCGAGTTTCAAAACACTGGTCCTGGTAGCATCAGGACCATTCATCGTATGGTTTTTATGTGAATTTCAGCATGAGGTCACATGATAGATGATTCTGATGTTGTCAAGATTATCAAGCAATCTTAACTTTCTGTACCCCATAATATAATACGGATATTTGTAGAAATTTATTTTTATTAAAAAAAATTATATTGATTGGTAGGCTCATACAATAGTGACATCATCATTGTTGGAACGGCCAAGTTTAGATTTTTCCCCTAAATCCTCTGCATCCGTCAATGCCTACCCACAGAAAATCAAAAACAGGATTCAGAAGAAGTGTCACAGACAACTAGCACTCTAGACACCTTCCTTTTTGTGGTTATCACAAGAGGTGTCAATTTCTTGAGTATCTATTGATTCAGAGTTGCTGTGAATTGTGATGACCTTCATGGTGGTCTATTAAGCATATTGATGTTGTAATATATGGTCTACAACCACTACCCGTTAAACATTTTGGTAACATTATCAAGTAGTAGTGGTAAATCAAAATCTTGGGTCAAGAAAATGTAACCTTTCTTGATGAATTGAGTTAGGATACAGATATAGGCACCCTTTTATGCATAAGGTTCAACAAATTGAGTGGTAAAAGAGAACTTTGTTGATTCTAGAGCTATTTTGTTTAGAATTACTAAATGTTTCTAACGTCTAAAAAGAGGTGTTTAAAATGAGTATTCCTTAGGATTTGAGCTTAACCATGATATCAATTTGTTTTTCTTGAATGAGATTCTTCCTTTCATTTTTTTTTTCAAAATTATATTTCTATACCCCACTATATATGAGGAAGGATCTAACTTTGTTTCGCTTATATATGACAAATGACTTCAATGGAGAAGTGGTATGGTTGAAACATAATCTAATCTTGAATCACATTGGATTAGAGGTATATGTTTTAGGATATCTTCTGTGTGTCAATTAGGAAGTGCTCTCTTCATTGCATCTCATTAGTACTATAGATGTTCCCCAATGTTCTAAAATGCGTTAAGTCGAAAGATCTACTTTTGTACTAGAATGAGACTGCAGGTGACCCCTAACTCCCACTCTACTTTTTACCATGCACTGGTTTGAGCAACATATCTTCCTATTTTTGTGATGCATAAGCATGACAAATACATCCAATCAAGGCTCTAGATTATCAACAGAGGTTGATGCATGTTGTTATGTCTAAGGTAATTAAAACATGTCAATTTCTTGAAATGTGAGGTCTTCATTTTTGTCAATTGTTAAGGCTTTTGATATTACAGGTGAGTGATGGAAGAGTCGTTAATCCATCTGCCTTGCAAAAGAAATTGGAAGAGTTGGCTCTTCACTCATCAAGACTAGATTTTGTCTTTGACATACTATTTGATTGATTTCTTTGTGGGGATTTTTCATGTTTTAATTAAAAGTAATTATATGAAAGTTCCATGCCTAAAAGTGTAGCTTTTGTGTTAATGTTGGGTATGGGTATGGTTTCATAACCATCCCACCCTTCATTCTCTAGGTTAACTTGTTTATATAAGGTTGATGATGTTGAATCACTTAATGTTGATTTGTGGCTGCCACATATATACATCTTCATCTTTCTCTCCTGCTAGTGTTCATCTCATTTTGTGTTGTATAGCTGTAAGTTTGTCTCTTCACTAGCTATATTAATTTACACAAGATATTTCTATTTATTTCAGTGTTTCAACCAAGATTAATAACATACTAACTCCAAACAAAAGTATAAAAGTTTTCTTATTTTAGTTATAGAGATCCCTATTTTGTAATCTAACCTTACTATATTGTAAAACATGAACCATTGGGTAAGGGACAAACCCTAATATCAAGGAACCTGTCTCTACTTAATAATTTAAGTTGTACAATTCAAACTACACAACACTTTTTTGTTAATTATATATACTATTAATTTCCTAATTCTAGATAGCATATAGATGCTAGCATCATTAGGAATTTGGATGTCCAATATATGTACCTTTGTAGCTAGGTCTTAAGACCATAGGTCATTTCTTTCCAAATTTAATTTGCTTTCTCATTATCTTGAACCCTATGTTTAGGTTGAAGGGAATGAAAAGAAGAGGAATTTGGATAAGTAAGCAAACTAAAAGAAAAATATAAAGGAAAGGAAAATTTTTTCCTCCTCTTTCCTTCAATTTTTTTTATAACTAAATAGAGAATTCTTTTATCATTCTTACCTTTTCTTTCATTTTTTCAAACCAAACATACTTAAAAAAAAAAAATACTAATTTTCCCTTCAATTTTGCTTATGCATTCTAGTTTTCTCTGAAACAAGAAGTGTTTATTTGCAGTTTAAGAGGAGCAAAAATAAAAGGTGTTGATCTAGGTTAGGGATAAATGTAGGTCAATTAAAAGGAGATAAAATAAAGAGAAAATGTCTTTTTTTTTTTTTTTTTTTTTTGAAAATAGGCAATGGACAAAGAGAAAATATCAAAAAATAAAATAAAATAAAGAAGATAGTTTTTGGTGCAAATGATGCAATTAATTGGTTAGGTACATGTCCTAAGTAACTGATGAAATGCATTAAAACCATCAGCAAATAGGTACAAAAACATGTTTCTTCCTTTGTCTTTCATACGGTACTTTCTTTTTCTCTTTTTTTGATAACACACACAGTACTTTTCTTTTTTTTTTGTACTCAATGACTTTGCATGCAATGGTTATTGTTGACAAAGGAAGTTGTTAAGGATATACAAGAGAGAAAACCCTTAAAAATTTTATTTAAAGGTTTTTTAACTTAATGATGTAATTATTATATATTTTTTTAAAATATTAATTAGTATTAAATAATAAAAATTAATTTTTATTTAATTAATTATTTAATTAAAATAATTAATGTGACACTAATAATAAAAATAATAATAATTTTGACATTTTTAATAATAATTAATATAAAAAAATATAATAATTACACTATATACAAATTAAAAAACCCTTTTATTTATAACAATAACAATTTCCCACTTCGCATAATACATATGGAGATTTTAGGATGAGATCTTTATATCTAAGATAGTACCAATCACCAGTTAATCATGGGAGGAAATATGCTGGCTTTTGGATTAATTATGATTTGAACTCCTCCAATTGACATTTATCCCGCTTATTGGAAAGTTGAATATCTGTATCATTATCCGACAAGAACAAGTGGAAAATTACTACTTCCCTACAATATTAATTAATATATATACAATCTCGAAATCAGCTCCTAATTGTTCCACTCGACATGTCTCATCTAGTTGGTTGGAGTTGTGGTGTCAAAGTTTGCAACTTTGTAGCGGTAAATGTAATAACAAATGAAATGCAAATGAATTTTGCAAATGAGGGCTGGAAGTTTGCGGCCAAATAGCAACAAGATAACAGCAGCAACATGGATAAGACTGCTGCTTATGGGCTGCTATAAAATGGCAGCAAATGTCTTGAATGTGATCTTGCTTTATATGTTTGATGGATTTTCTTGTATCAGGTGAA